CCCTCGCCATCGCCGACAGGCTCTTAACCGCGGTTTACAATCGCGTAAAGATTGCCGCACCCGCGCCGATATAAAGTGGGTGATTCGGTACGCGTGAGCAAATTCAAGACAGTCTTTGATAAAGGATACACGCCGAATTGGACTACGGAAGTCTTTAAAATTATCAAAGTGCAGCAAACTAATCCAGTGACGTATCTATTGGAAGATTTTCGCGAGGAGACTATCGCTGGAGGATTCTACGAATAAGAATTGCATCGCGTCGCTAATCCCGACGTGCATCTCGTCGAAAAGGTGTTGCGCAAGAGGGAGAACGAGATGGGGTGATCCCGATTGACCACCACTCGTCTCGATTGGACACCACCAATCACAGCGATCGGTGCTTAGGAGCTTTGTAGTCTCAAGCGCTGTGAGTGGCTCGTGTCCAATTGAGCCGTGTCCAACTGGGTGCGACACAACGAGGTTTACGTGAAATGGTTGGAATTTGACAATTCACACAATTCGTGGATTCATAAAGACAGTGTGTTGTAAAATTATATATTTATTCAAAAAAAAATATATATATATTTATATAAATTTTTTATAAAAATATATTGAAAAATATTGTATACTCTTCATTATAAATGTGTATTACACATAGTATGCATATTATACATGTTATACCTACATATTACACATATTATATTATACATAATACACATAGTATACGTCTTATACATATTATACATATTACACATAATATATACATATTATACATATTATATTATACATTTTATAAGTATTAAACATATTATATATGATACAATTGTTTTATTTACATCGGTAATGCTCTCATGGCAGCATGTCGGTGGAACCTGATACGATATACCGCTTATCATCGTGCGGACTTAGAGCGATTTTTGTTTCCGATATCGTGTGCACTTCGTGCAGTTTGGATCTTATGCATGACTGTCTGCGCGTCATTTCGATTGCATCGTTCAAGCAGCATGTGTAATCCTCAAACGTTATGGATTTTGCCACAACGCTGCTCTTGACACCCTTTACCTTTTTCGCGTCTTTCTTTCCTTGTACACGTAAACCGTACATTTTCGCTCTAAGCCCTACGAATTCAGTCATGATGGCGCCGTTGTTATCGTCTTTCATAAGGCCTGGAACTTTTTTATTTGCGAGCGGAATACCGTACGCGTTGTCAACTGCATAATCACTCACGTGTCAAATCTATTTATATCACGTTTCATGACATCGTAAATATCGTCACGTTCTACGTGATATATGAGGCTATCTGTGTCAGTATACATAATTTTGCATTTTCGCGAAACACCGGTGCCATGTACTCGTGGTGAAATTCGTACAAACATATTTTCGATATATCGAGGATGCACATACCCACGTATATCGATTTGTCGAACTTCACCTCGAGCTTACGCAGTTCTATCGCGACCAGATTCTTCGAAAAGGTGCTACGACTGTGAAAATTTGGTTTCGAGATCATTGCCTCCGCACCGTATCTGCCTTCCCATTTTGTCAATAATTTTACGTCGACGCGATCGCGCACGTTCTCCAGGGTTTTACCAAATATCGCGTTATTCATAAGTTTGTATAAATTTTTCTCGAAATCGTTCTTGGCTAAAGTTCTAAATTTTGTGTTTAATTCTATGTAATCGCGAAACCATGAAGATTACGCGAATTGCAGTATACGGTGAACCTTTGCGATACGAAGGCCGTGACGAGTACACTGCTGCAGGTTGCGATAATGTATGACGTAACGTTGTTTATCGCATAATGTTGCGAGAAGCTTGTCATCGCGCTTGCCGGGTGGTTTCTCGCGCGTCGGACAGAACGGTAGGTCAGTGTGCGCGTCATGAAGATGTTGCGGGTACTCCACATCCACCTCGAGAATATAGCCTGTTGGTGAATCTAACGCGATGATCGTAAAATCGAAATTGTGCACGTCGTCGACCCATCGAAAATCGGCGTAGGGCAATGGTTTGACACATTGCCCAGCCATAGAGGTTGTTGACGTCATAGTACATCAAGTACGATGACGGTTTCGATGGATCGTACGACGGCATGTACTTATTGTTGGCTCGCGCGTACCTGTTTGAGCACTGGCTCAGACCACCGCGTATACCGCGCTCGACAAACATGACCATGTCGATGTCTGTCAGCAATTCAAATTTTACACCTATATGCTTTAACATGGCATCCCATGTGAAACCAGGTAAGGTGTAATAGCATGCGGGGTCGAGCCCGTAACGATGCAGCTGTCGCGGAAATTTTCAAAGATATCAGTCAACAACAATACATCCGTTTTTAAATAAAGATCGCTATATTCGCCGAGCGTTTGGATGGAGAACCGCTGCCACACGTTGACGGCGTACGCGTAATCACTCTCAGATACCGTGCTATCAGTCAATGAACTGTAAAATGACTCGCGAAGTGGCAAGCGTACCAGGTATGTAAATATGAAACCGGAATTTTTTAATAGAAAATACACGTTTATTGCATGAAAATGATAAAAAATATTTTATTCGAAGTATTGCCAATCGCTAGTTATACATTTTTCCCAACTGTCTGACAATTTGTGGATGCCACGTCAAAAAAATTGTTGCTCTTTTGAGCCAAACCAGTCATCTAGCCATTTTCGTACATCTTCGTAAGAAGTAAAGCGCTGCTGAGCAAGTGCGTGTCCAATCGATGCAAATAAGTAGTAATCGGACGTAACCAAGTCTGGTGAGTAAGCCGCATGCTAAATTATTTCCTAACCAAACGCCTCAATCGTTTCCTTGACCAGTTTTGCTGTGTGTGATGGTGCATTATCATGAAGCAAAATCACTTTGTGTTGCCTTCTTTGATATTCCGGTCGTTTTTCACGCAAAGCTTGATTCAAATTGATCATTTGTTGTCGGTAGCATTCAGTATTAACGGTTTCGCCAGGTTTTAGCAGCTCATAATAGATCACACCTTTCTGATCCCACCAAACACAGAGCATTATCTTCCGTCCATAGTGATTTGGCAGTCGATGACGATGGTTCGCCTGGAGTTACCCATGATCTTTTACGCTTAGGATTCTCAAAATATATCCACTTTTCATCGCCAGTCACAATTGGATTGAGAAATAACTTTCTTTTGTACCTAGCGAGCAGCATTTCGCAAGTGGTTTTTCGGTTTTCCTGCTGTCTTTCATTCAGTTCATGTGGAACCCATTTTCCCATCTTCTGGATCTTTCCCAGGGATTTCAAACGTATGGAGACGGCTTCTCGTGTCACATTCAATTGATCCGCGAGTTGTTGAGTTTGAGCGTCATCCTCATTCAACAATGCTTGCAATTCGCTGTCTTCAAACTTTTTCGGTGGTTTTCCACGTTCTTCGTTTCTCACGTCAAAATCGCCACTTTTGAATTTTTTAAACCACTCAAAGCACTGTGATTTACCAAGAGCATGCTCACCGTAAGCTTCGACAAGCATTCGATGCGATTCTGCAACAGTTTTCTTCAAATGGTAACAGAAAATCAATGCTGTCCGCAAATCGTAGTTTCCAGGCACAAAATTCGACATGTTCAATGCTATTACAAACTATACTGTTGTATGAAACTTGTATTGTTGTGAGTTGAAAATCTTTGTCAGATGTCAGAACAAGGAAATGGCGTCAATGACGCAGTCTGTCGGCAACTACATTGACAGCTATGGCCATCTATTTGTAAATTCCGATTTCATATTTACATACATGGTAATTCGTTCAATTTTTTGCTGCAGTCAATGTACTCGTACGGAAAAACGCCCTTTCGAGTCAAAAGATTAAAATATTCTTCGGATAAATCGGAAAATTCGCGCCGCAGTATTATCCTTGTACCCGCAGCTTATCCTTGTTAAGAAAAGATGCCAATTTGTTCAAACTAGAAGCGAGAAATCTATATGAATCTTTAAACCGTAATTGCATACAATTGTTTTGATCGATTTTAGTACTATCGACGTGTTTGGTGAATGAGATATATTTTTCTTTCGTTATCGGAAGGAAATCTACGCGTCCTTCGTACGCGGTGGCAATTTCTTTGATTATGAAATGAACGTCGTAGCCTGATAAGTTATGGAAAACTACGGGTATGCAACGCGAATCTCTATAATTTAAATTGCAATTTGAATGCGCGGGGCCTCTGTATCGCCCGGTGAGATGGCAGTGATCGCGTACCCGCGTATCGTCTTTCGCGAACGATTTCTCGCACACGTAACAATGCGAAGCGCTGTTAAAATTTTCCCAGTCGTCGCGCGTGAAATCTACCATGGGAACATTGGCCGAAATTATAGACTGTACATTATGCGGCAAATTTTTCAATTCTTCCGCGAACCACGCTATACAGTCTTTGTCGCGGCGAAAACGATAGCCCGACAGCGAGCTGTCGTAGGAGCAGTGCACGTAATACCCGATACTGAAGACGTTGTGATGTTGGTACGTGTGTGTAGCAGATTGTGAATCGCTATCAGTTTTCTCCAACGCACACTCAAGATTGGCGTAGACTATGAACAGGACGCGCTCCTTCCTACAGTGGTTGTGGAAGCTCAGCCATTTGTCGTCCTCGCTCGGTAATCTGATTGCGCAATCGTTTAGTTTTCCACAATCCTCGCTGTGAGTCCTCAGTTTTGCGCTCGAGCTAAGGTAGTGCAGACATCTGGAATCGGTGATCGTCGTCATCGTCATCGTCGTCATCCTTATTATTACGTACCTATCACAGACATATTTCTTGTGTTCATATCTACTGAGTTGAGAACTGACAAGGCGGGATAGATTCTTGATCAGCACGAAATGTCCCGCGCTATCGTCCTCCACGTACAACAGGTTTACGTGCTTGCTCCTCTTTTGGTCGGCGAGTCGTATCAGCACAAACCCTTTCTCGATGGCGTAGATGTTGATGGAAATGTCATTAGAAATTTCAAATTTCCTAATTTGGCTCAATGTCATCGGAAATTTGATGCCCGCGAGATTTAGAACTGTGGAATAATGCGGATAGGAAGATACCCTTTCCACATGTTTTTGAGGTGGATGCAGAGCGGCAATCACTGACCATGCGAAACACGCATCGCCCGCAGATTGTATGTTGATTACCGCTCTCTTTAGCATAATTTCTCGCGGAAGTTTGATGTGACATCCCGCGCACAGAGGATTGTGCTTATTCGCGTTCACCGCCAAATTTAGTATACGCAACAGTGCCCATCCGCTGTCGTCTTCTTGAAATTCTTCCAACGATGCTAGAA